TATACGGGCCGCCAGATGAACTGACCAGGACGGCCCAATTTATGACAGATACCGGACTTCAAGTGTGATGCGATCGAGAAGAAGAAGAAGAAAGACACATTGGATAAAACTAAAACGATATGAGGATAGCTTTATCGGTTGAGTTTGTCAGAAGTAGAGTTGACTATGACTTTGTACACATTATAAACAAAAATCTCCATAGCCTCACAATGATATTCTCTCTGTCTCTACTAAACACACACAAATCACACAACATACACAATGGATAAAACAATATGAAAGCTAAAAGAGCAAATAAAAAATGAATGACCCAGGAAATATTAAAACTAGGCTAGAGTGGAAAAGTACATGATCTTTAGCTATGGTCAACACCCAAAGGCTATTGTATTTTTATTATTTGGTCTAATGCTTGCTTTTCTGCACCAAAGGGTGTGACATGTACATATTAGAATCTAGATCTAGATTCTAGGCCTAGATCTAGATCTAGATAATCTAGGTCTAGATCTAGATCTAGACTAGATCTCTAGATCTAGAATCTAGATCTACCACAGTGTTGCGGTCCCGCGGTGCCTAACGTAACGAGTAATAAAAAGCTGACCGGGTTGCCAGGGTGAAAAGACCCATTTTAGACTATTTTTCAACACTATTCTAATTGGGGGGGGGGGGGGGGGGGTTAATGTGCTGAGAACAATTTTGGCACTAAAATGGTCACAAACCATTATTTTTGCACCCCCTCCCTTTTTTTAAAATCACGATCCGTTTTTATTCTATTTTAATGTGCAGTTTGGCATTGTATGCATTGAAATTCTGGCCAGTATCGTCTCCCGGAAGCGTGATTTTATGGTATCCAACTGTCAACAAAGGATTGGGACCGCAACACTACGGTGTTACCGCTATGGTCTAACTGACAAGTGGTGAAGCAATGGTTTAACTGACAAGTGGTCACTGACCAGTGGTCAAGCTATTTATATAGTCAATCTGACCTGTTGTTAAGCGACTACAGTCATGATAATTTGGCCTCAAATACAAACGCAGTTGCTTTCCTTCAACCAAAGACAAAGTAAAGATTGTCTAGCCCTCCTACTCCTAGCTAGAATCTAGATATAGATAGATCTAGATCTAGATATCTAGATCTAATCTAGATCTAGATCTAGACTAGATTGTAGATCTAGAAATCTAGATCTATATATCTAGATCTAGATCTAGATCTAATCTAGATTAGATCTAGATTCTAGATTCTAGATCTACCTCTACCTCCCCAGAGCTGGGGGAACATCTAATAGAACTGATCCCGGAGCATTCTATGCCTATGGCATGGAGTTGGTTCCACAATTCCTGCTACAGATTGCACTAGATCTAGATCTAGATATCTAGATCTAGAGGCTAACCTTCTATTGTTTGTAGAGTGTAGGGGGCTACAGGTTGGTTTTCTATGAATTGACTTTTTGTCAATTGCCACAGAGTGAAGCGGTGTCAAGTCTGAAAACAACACTATCTTTAGCATTATACATAGGCCTAATGTGTGTCTAATGGGTCAATTTGTTCTCAACTAATTTCATTGGACGAGCATCTAGTCTAGAGCTACGGTACCAACTAATTCAACTTGGCTTGTTTTCAATGAGACGTAGGCCTAGATCTAGGCTAGCCTTAGCCTACACTTTGGTGTAGAACCAACACAGGCAATTCTAGAAGTAGAAGGTCACAAACGCACACAAACTCAAGCAGAAATTCACGTTATATCAGGGGACGGGGGTCAGGAAAAGACACACACACACACACACACACACACACACACACACACACACACTCACACACACACACAAACACACACAAACAAACCCACACACACACAGAGGGACAGAGAGGTGAACGCACAACACCGAGCACTCGAGCACAATAAGCTAGATCTACCCACCAATGCAAAAGAGCTCCAATTTACTCGGTGGCCAAAAGTCAATTTTCGTCAATCGCCCCTGCGTCACTCGGTGGCAATTGACACTACCTTTACCTTTTTGTCTGACCCATGATGATGATCAACAATGCGCACAATTCTACTCAAAACATTCTTTCTCAGATCAGTGACTGCTCTTTTTTTCGATGCCCTGTTTTTTCTTTTCTGTTTGTTTTTATATAATTTGTATTGTACAATTAATTCAGTTGCCTGTGATGATGCTAGCTTGAGATGATATTAACTTTTAGTAAATTTCAAAGTTCATTGTCAGAAGGAAGAACTTTACAAAAGGGCCTATATAATATAAATAGACGAATAAGAATTACAATAAGTCAAAGGTAAATGTTTACTTTTAGACCTGCAGGCAGATGCACTGTTTTGAGGGCTAAACTTCCATAAATTTTGCTGCAGTGCAGAACACAATATGGTCACTATAAAACCCTTGCAAACCAATTGTTTTCTAATAATATCAATCCTAATACTAATTGCCAAAACATCAAATCATGGTGCAATGTAGGGGGGATGCCCCCCAGATTCTTTTTAGGAACCCCCCATGTTAAAACGAGTTAAATAATAAATATTACCACGCCATTGGTCAAATTGTAGCACGTAGGCCTATATATAAAAATATCTATAATCTCATTATAAACTAATGCCCTCTTCACAAAAGCGCACTCTTTGCGAACAGAGTTACCCTACTTGAGTTTTAAAAAATCAAAGTGAAACTAGCAAGTTTTGGGATAAATTTCGGAAGAACGCTTTTTTAAAATGGTTACGCTGACAAAAAACCTCTACCAGAGGAAAGGGTGATTGTTTTCTTCGTTTAATTTGACTTTAGAATGAAAGGAGAGAGGTCATTAAAATTTTAAAAAACTAAAACTCCGCACTGAACGTACCCGAACTGCTGATGAACAGCAGTCGATCTGCGCACGCAAGGAGGTGCTATTCCTATTCTTCTTCTGGAAAAACGAAAGAGAGCTTCAAAACAGACTGCAGCGCCATCTGAAGCAAAGAGCATACTTCCTGCGGACACTTTTTTGGCTGAGTGGCCCATCTTGTTATTTACTATCTTTGGTTAAAACGAGTTAAATAATAAATATTACCACGCCATTGGTCAAATTGTAGCACGTAGGCCTATATATAAAAATATCTATAATCTCATTATAAACTAATAATTTGCAGTGGATTTAAAGTCAAAATTTGTGTAAAGCAGATGAAAATGAATAAGAAAAGTGCTTCAGAATATCTAAGCTTGAGTGACGACACAGGTCCATGAGTAAAAAAAATGGCCGGCTCTATTTCTCTGAACGTTTGGGAAAATACACTTGAACTCTATATCTCTGAACAGTTTCCGTTCTCGAGATTTGTTGATCAGATAATAAGCGAATGGAGTGGCCGGTGTGTGTGTGTGTGTGTGTGTGTGTGTGTGTGTGTGTGTGTGTGTCTATGTGTGTGTCTGTATGTGTGTAAGGTGTGAATGGGAGAGGGGGGGGGTGGAGGGATTTTTTTTTATATGAAGGATTTTAGTTTTTGCTGGGTGACTAAATGCAAAATAGGTTACTGCCAAGGTCGAGAAGTCTTGTTTTCTCGCAGTAACTTACCTTTTGAAGGTATTTGCAAATGAAGTATAGTCCGGGAACATATTGCCCCAACAACAATTAAAGTATCTGAATATTCAGACATTTAAAAATCTCTTAGCTCTAGAAACTGAATTTGATGCAAAAAATACTTCTTCCCAGTCCTGAATGCAAATCTCACAAATAACCAAAAAAAACTCGACATCGGAAACCGTTCGAAGAAATAGAGTTCAACTTTATTTTCCCGAACGTTCAGAGAAATAGTCACTTCGAAAAAAAATAACAATAAAATTCTATAATTTAATAATAATAATAGGCCTAATAATAATAAAAAATTATAGTAATAATTTTAGGCCTATTTATAATTATAATATCATAAATGAAAAACATATGAATAATGATAATAAAATAATAATTGTTAATTATAATATAACAAATAATATAATATTCAACATACATAAAAGGTTTTGAGCCAAATCCCTCCTGATTACTGGATGGTATGAGACTTCACCATAAAGTTGCTCTCAAATCAGGCCTGATCTTTTCAATTTGACTGATTTCCGTCTTTGGGATGTGTGGTGCAGAGGCCCTGCAGCATTGCATACAGAAGGTGTGCATGAGTTCAATATCCAACATACTACATCAATTAGGCCCTAGAGAAGTCTAATAATGCTGGTCAACTTTGAAAAAGACTTACCTACAAAAGTTGTCAAATCTTTTGGAAATTGATGAGCTGAACCCAAATATGTTATAATCTTATTAGTTTTCACATATATTCAGGTCAGTTTTTGCAGAATTCACATTCTTATTAATCTATAATTTCAGGTATTGTTAAGTTTGTTAGGGGAGGTAAGAATAAAAGGCTCGTTAATCAAGGGGAGTAACGTATTATTTCCTGAAACACAATTAGCTAGGCATGGTATATTTGCTATGTCTTTATATGACATCTAATGTCTTAAAATTCAAACTCATCTCAATCATTCAGTTTATTTTTGACACAAACAGCCGTACAAATAATGTAGTCTAAATTTCAAAAGATTATGCAAGAAAACTGAACAGTATTTTTAAAATTATGTAATAATTTAGCAATAAAGTCACTGGGAAATTAACAAGGGGAGGTAGTTATTAAGTGATCATTTATCAAAGGGAATGTGACTGAATTCCACTGTTTAGTAGTGTCATTTAAGGAGTTCATTCTTGAAATTAGTGCCCATCCGCTATCCACAGTGTTTTCAGGTTTTTTTCTGGTGTGCTGCTTCAATGTCTGAACAGAAAAAGCAATTCCCAAGCGTCAATGATGCAAATTAAGTTGAAAGAGGGCATTGTACTTAGATTTGTCATTAAAAGAGTAACATGGTTTGATACATTTGAATAGATAATGGTTTCACTCTAGAATAAGTTTTTGCATAAAATGAGCTGAACTTAACAGCATAAAATTGCATTTTTGATACTCATTTACGTGAGATTTTACAATTTTAGGGGTTTATGATCAATGAGAAAACCTCCCACAAAATGCGACGTATTTATTAGAAATCCTTACCTGGTGAAGAAAATCTGACATCAGACAGATTTGGATTTTGCGACTCAAATTCCTTATAAATTCATATTCACATGCCTAGTCCCAAAATGTGAGGGAAATTTTAGGGGTTTATGTTTAAATTAAAATATTTTTTTTAATGCAGGTATCGTATTATTATTATTAGAAATGCTGGCCTGATATAAAGCAAATGTGACCCCAAAGTCATATTCTTGGAACCAAATTCCATGAAAATCATATTATTATAGCCTATAAAGCCCAACAATTTTCAAAATTTTGTTTACCAATGTAAAATAATTAGTCTTATTTTATCTAGTTCTGTCTGTCCATTTTTTTGGCGGGGGGAGTGTAAAATACTGGCAATCAGTCAAGTCGCAAGGGGGGCTTGCAGCATGCGCAGCTTTATATGTTTAAAGACATTATCCTTGATGTTGTTGCGAGTTAGGAAGCAAAATAGCTTCTCAAGATGTTCGTTTTTTAATCGAGAATTTTAATTATGTGATAATAATAAGTAGGTTAAATCACAGGGCACACCTTAAAAGCTGTAAGCAGTATAATTGTAATAGAGAAATTCATACTGTATATAAGAGAAAACAGATAGTAATAGAAGTAAGGCACAGTTTTGAAAAGTTTAAACATGTTTTTTGGTTTACTATAGTCTGTTTGACCGCCTTGTCTTTCTTTTGCACAATTAAGACTCAGTAAGGCCTTATGGTAAGAAATTTCTGTTATGCAACCCGGTGGAATGATGAACATGCTTTCACATTGAGTCGTATGCTGACATGGTCGAAGTAGGTTGATTATAGTGTGTTTTATGCTATTATATTTTTCCTGTGTCGATTAAAATAAAATAAAATTTGTGGGGGATAAAGAGTTGCAGCTGAAAACTTAACTGGACTACAGTAAAGTGTCTGTTTGAAACCAAGGATATGGGTAGATCAAGGTGGCTGTAAATTAGTGTAAAGAGATGATGTAAAGACCAGTCTACCATAGATTTCACAGCTATGTATATATATATATGTAAAATATGACATATTTTTAGTGGTAGAAGGTGGTTTGTAAAATGCTGAATTGATGTAATCAACATTCAATTTTATGTCCTAAAAGTTGATCCACTTTATTTTCTCCAGATGTCGCGCTTCCAGTTTCTGTCTTCAGCAGGTTGCACTTATGTGCTTGGTACTGCTGATGATGAGGATGAATATGACGAAGACAGTGAGGATGATGAGGCCGTTGAGGAACAAGACGATTCATGTCCAGGAGATCAAAACTTAAAGACTGACACCTTGCATTTAAGTGAAGAAATTGAACAAAACAGAAGGCACTGTTTAGTTTCTGATGGGAGCACTGTAGTAAGTAATGACAGCACTGATGTGGTGGTAACAAAAGCAAATGAACCAATTGAGAACAGACAGCACTTTTTCGTTTCAGAAGTTGATAGCAAAGGGAATGACACTGACACTAATGAGGTTTCAGTTGATGAACAGTTTGGACTGGAGAAAGTTGAACGAAGCAGAAGTCAAATTTCTGTTTGTGGAGAGGGACTTACAGAAATTAGAGCAGAAGTGAATGACAGTGACGTATTCATTGAGGCTGATGAGCACATTGAGCAAGGAACCGGACAAAGCTGTTGTGAGAATTTTGTATCCGAGAGGACAGTGGGAAGTCAGCAAGCGATTGACAACAATTTGTTGTTAATAGAGACAAGTGGGCGGATTGAGCATGGAGGAATAAGACATTCCCAGCAAGTGAAAAGTAAAAGTCAGCTGACTGCTTCTGGTGGAAATGTAAAATTAGAAATAGAAGAGAATGGCACTGATGTAGTTGTAGCTGAGGCAAATAAACAGTTCGGACATAAGGAAATTGAACAAAATGGAGGTCCATCTTCTGTTTTTGAAGAAACAACAGAAGTTGCTGAAGTGAATACAACTGATGTGTCTGCTGAGATAAGTGTAGACACTGTTCAAGAAACTGAACAAAGCAGCAGTAACAGTTCTGTCTCTGTGAAGGTAACAGAAGGTCAAGAAAAAGTGGTTGACAATGTTGTAACTGCAGAGAGAACACAGGTTGAACAAAATAGGAACTGTGGTTCTGCATCTGGGGTGCCCACCTGCAGAAGTGTGCCTTTGGAGCCTCATAAGTTCAATGACCCAGAGATCTGCACTTATGTGGCTAGTGGACGTAATGAATCTTTGCGAAATTGTGAAGACATTGGGTGTCCTGAGAACTCTACTGACGATACTGACCCTCAGATCTCTGCTCACAGCGCTGAAATCATAGAACCTGCACCTAATGCTAATGCTCAGAATGGTGCAGACATTGACAGTTCTCAGCTCCTTGTTCACATAGCTAGCCCAATTACTGCTAGGGACAATGATGCAATGCAAGACTCCTGGAAGGGTGCATGCGACAAACTCAAACAGAAAGATAACACTTCAGACTCTAGTTGTGTTCATAAGACCATACCAGTGGAAGATTTGGATGTTCACGATCATTCCGGTAGCGTGTGGAAACATAATGGCTCCCATGACCACGATAATGAGAGTACTCCAAATTCCATGTTTGCTGATGCCAGGCTGTGTGTGGCCAGGCAAGAGGCAAAGCAGATTGATTATAAGAAACCTGTTTTGTTGTCAGATATTGCTAGAATTCACATACCAAGAAGCAGCACAAAGTTGGGTCTTGATGTCAAAGATCCTCGAGTGAGGCCGTGCCCGGAATTCAGCAAGTCGGAGCCGAAGAGTAAGAATATTAATCAAAGCAGTGATAGACATGTTAGCAAAGGAAATGTTGCTGGCTCCAAAAAAAATGAGGCACGTGCAACTAAAAACAAGACCACTGAAAAGTTGAAAGACCCTAGAAAACTGTGCACGGTATATTGTGATCCACATAAAAAGTCAAGAAGTGCAAAACCTAAATTGCCTTCTGATTCAAAGCTGGCAAAAGATATGGTGGACATTGGTGACAGTGTCTCAAAAAGTGTCCAAAAAGTGTCTGAGAAAAGACAATTAGGTGCTGACTTGAAGTTTCAGGTTTCAGATACCTGTGAAAAAGAAAACAGTATTTCTTCTCGCAAGGATGATAGAAGATTGAGTAAACCGAGGCCTTCAGACAAAAGTAAGAATGTTTCTAAGAAGTCCACATCTGTTGAAAAACACACCAAATCATCAGGTAATATGGCAAAAGGCAGTCAAGTACCGGAGGACAAGAAAAACCTGCTGCTTGGAAAAAGAAAAATGAGTCCTGTGATCGCATCTGAAGTACGTGGCACAAGCCCCTCCATTGTCAGAAAAAGAAAAGTTACGGCTGATGTAACTGGAGATCATGCTATCACTGAGTGCAAGAAGTCAAAGACAAGTGAAGGGATTTTGAAGTCTAGAAAGCAGAAGCTGCAACCAGTTATAAAATCAGACAGAAAATGTTCCCAGTCTGTAAGTGATCCTATGAAACAGACACAGTGTAAGAAAACAAACTTCAGCTCACCTTCTGAAAAGAGAATTAAAATGAGCTGTGTGACTTTTGAAAAGGTTGAACATGTACATAGAGACAAAGCACCTTCCACAGTTAAAGTGACTGGTGAGGGTAACAAAAGAAACATTAGAATGTGCACCAAAGATAAATATGGAGAGATTTCTATCTGTTCATCTTGTTTGTCAGCGTACAGTCAGTCAAATGAGTTACGGTCCAAGCTGAATAGTCTCTCGTACATAGACAAAACAAATAGTGAAATTTGTTTACAATGCTCCCGGCCTCTGGCTTCTAAACAATTTGTGTGTCCCAAGTGCCACTCAGTGTTTCGGAATGTTGTGACCTTCTGTGCTCATACTGATAATGCCAGTGGTTCCCAAAAAGAGGCGCAAAAGTTTAAGTGCCACTGTGGACTGAAGTTCTCTTCTCGTTTCCACTATTATGAGCACATTGCTTTCTCTCCTTGCTCAAGGATATGTGGGCATTGTGAAATTTTATTTAAGTCAAAACAGGAAAAAGCTACACATATTTGCCCTTGTAGTGATACATCCCAGGAGTCAGAATGCAGGATACCTTCGTCTGACCCGGATCAAGTTTCAGAGTTCCAGTGTTATATTTGCAAAGAAATCACTTCAAATGCTAGGGATCTTGAGCATCACATGTCGCAGCATAAAGTTCAGCGAGGATTTTCATGTCCACAGTGTGGTGCTTCTTTTTTTCTCAGACAGAGCTTATTGGACCACTGCAATCTTCATGATCAGGAACATGTTCACAAGAGTATAGATCCGGTAAATCCAGATGAATCGGCAAAAAAGAAACCGTCACTGGCCAGCAGTTTGCATTGCTACCGCTGCTTTGAAACGTTCCTTGATTTGCCTTCCTTGAAGTGCCATATAAATTTGAGAAACTCTGATGGTGGATGCAAGGTTACAAAAAAACCAGAAGTTAACAGCGGACAGGTTTATAGCTGGACAAAAAAAGAGAAAACAAAGGATTCCCTGAAAAGTCCAAGCAGTGCTGAAACCATTACTTCAGGGGAGATTATTGAGCAAAAACTCAGGGAAAACTGCACTCAGGAGTCCACTCATACTCATAGATCAGTGCCACCAGATTTACGTGTCAAGGCACACAGTCCCAAAAATTCAAACAAAAGCAGTGTTAATGAAAGACCATTACGATGTGGAAAGTGCAAGTTTCAATGTGTTTCGTTTCAAGAACTGGAGAGGCATTTGCATATTTCTCATGGTCATCGAAAAGGCCTTCTGTGTGAAAAGTGTGGGTCCAGCTTCATTCTTGGGGGGAGCCTTCGTGAGCACATGGCATTTGTACACCGAGGGAACTCTGACACTCAGATAAAAATTGTGCATTCTAGAAAAAAAGTAGCCAGCGGACATCTTGAAAGTAGGCAGCCTGCATTAGATTTAGGTTCTAACCCAAGAGGTCTTTCTCAGGAACAGATTAAGATTGATACTGTCAGTTCCCCGGGAATGTCTCCAAGAGAAAAAATTGTTGAGCACAAAAATGGCATGCATAAACCTTTTGTCAGTTCTGAGATGTCAGCAAAGAATGGAAAAGCTGAGCCACCGTCAAGCAGGCACAGTACTCCATGGAAAGAGGACAACAATACTGTGGAAATTTGCTCAGCTATGATGCAGAGCGATGTGTGTGATCTTAAAGATTGTTCTGTGAAAGAGAATAAGAGTCACTCTGGAGGAAGAAGTATCATGCAAAAACCGTTGATAGATTCAAAGATTTTAGAACAAAGTGGAAAGGTAGATTCATCAGGACAGTATTCGGCTTTGAAGCATGTGAAGACAAATATTCAACCAGCTGCAGAAAATAATGACAAATTTGATGTGATGAAATGTAGAGTGAGAGATGTACAAAAGCAGTTCAATGGTTCAAAATTTTCAGTTCAGGACAGAAAAGTAGAGACAACAATTGGGCCTTCACCTCTAAAGAGAGGGGATAAAAAGAAAGCTGATGTTTGTGTCACGGTGAAAGATGACAAATCTTATGTGAAAGGTATTGCTGTTGTCAAGGATACTGCCATTCCATCTGAAAAAAAAGGTTTTCTTACGTCCTCCGTTGACTTTATACTTTCAGAGCAAAACAGAACAGTGCAATTATCTGGTGGGCATTGTAATGTTAAGGATGCTGCTGGGGACAAGTGTGACAACTCTAATGGAGGACTACTTAAATGTAAATCATTCATGCTTTCAAATTTTTCAGAACAAAATAAAGAAACTGACTCAACAAGTGAGTTTTCGGCTCAAAAGGAGGAGAAAAAGAAGACTGAAATTTTCGTTTCAAGGCAGGGTGATAGATTTGACATTAATGGTGGTGTGGGGAAAAACTGTACGAGTCACAAGTCTAAAGGAAGGGGTTTGATTAAACTTGAACCTGTTGCCACTTCCACAGCTTCTGTGCAAAAGAAAAAACAGTCCATAAGATCGCCTTTAATTTCAAAGAAAGAAATGAAATGTGTCACTGATGTAAATGATGACAAATCTGTGTTGAAAGAAACTGTTGTGAAAGATTCTAGTAATACTTCTTTAGAAGAAAAACTCCATAAATCATTTATTTCCAAACAAAATAAATCGGTTATGTCATCTGGTGAGGATTTGAATCCAAAGAAAGAGGAGAAAAAGAAGTGTGAAAATTGTGATAGGCCTGCAGCGAAGATTATGGAGTCGAATCTAGCCACGGTCGACTCAAGCAGTAACTTACCGGGAAGAGATGTACTCCAACCGTTTTCGGATTCAAGAATGTTAAAAAAAGACAGGAAAGAAGAGTCATCTGAGGGAAATTCTACCCTTATGAAAGAAGAGAAAAAGACACCTGAAATTCCAGCTGCAGAGATAGATAGTAAGTGTGCTGAGGATACTGCTGTGAAGGACCCTTGCTGCAACTCTCGTGAAAGAAATGTGCAGAAACTGAATATTGATTCCCGATTTCCAGAACAAAACAAAAGTGTAAAGTCGAACAACATGCTTTCGAGTTCTGAGAAAGATGAGAGAAAGCAGGTGGAATTTTCACCTACAGCGGAGGACAACAAATCAGGTCGTGAAATTTCTGTTGAAGAGGACTCTAGCAGTACCTCCCAGAGAATAGATGATCTTGGTCTGGAAACAGTTTCGGACAGTGAGAGTTACTTTTCTGAAACTGTGGAGCCCTCAAGACGTGAAGCCACTCGGCCTGTCAACAAGGTCAAGTTGGGCAGGTCTCGTTCATCAAGGGGAAGAGGACATATTTTTTCAAGACCTCATTACTCACAAAAGAATAAAATACCTTGGGCGTCAAGGCCTTCAATTCCAAGAACGGATAGGAGTCCTGTTTATTCAAGACCTTATGCATCAAATAATGAAAGTCCTTTTTTTTCAAGACCTCCATATTCACCAGGGGATGAGAGTCCTGCAAGACCTCCTTATTCTCGAAGAGACAGGAGTCCTGTTCGTTTAAGACCTCCTTATTCCCCCTTGGATGAGGGTCCTGTTTATGCAAAAACCCCTTATTCACATAGAGATAGGAGCCCTGTTTATTCAAGACCTTCATATTCTCCAAGAGATCAGAGTCCTGTTTATTCAAGACCTCCTTATTCACCAGGGGATGAAAGTCCCGTTTATTCAAGAGGTTCGTATTCATCAAGGTCTTTTTCTCCTATTGACCGGGGCACTTGTTCATCTTCCAGAAATGGAGAGTCTAGAAATGATATTCTCAGTTTTATTTCTGACCCTTCAAAAAATTATGAAAAAATGGCATATTGGGAAAAGGCAACTCTGCGGAGTAATCAACATAGGCCTAATGAATCTGACAGGTTTCGTCAATCTTATCGTAGAGCACATTTTGCAGAGCCCTGTACATTTTCCGGCTTTCTCCCAGATTCAGACACTGTCGACTGGCATTCCCTGGATCCATATATTGGAAGGAATCACCACGAAAGCTATCAAGCGTTTAGCAATGACCGCTGAGATTTATACTTTCCATGGCCATCGAAGATTTGACTCAATTTGAGATGTAATAATTTGTTAACCATGTCCACCTTTGTGGATCCCTATGAATGACATATTTCCCAGTCTCGCTCAAACTCATACTGCTGAAGAAGTTGGCTTTTATAGAAATTTCTGAGGTTTTTATCCTTTGAAATCTATGTACAGTGGAGAATGCAATGTTAGAATAGATTCAAACTTACTGTCGGACAAAGGGGTGAATACATGTCGATGTGTTGAGGTACCGACTTGTTCTCCTTTGGTTACACAGAGCTGAGGACCTTCCTCTTAGTAGTTGACTTTTTCCTAATATTTATAGGTATCTTTATATTTTGTTTTTTGCTGTCCCATCACTGCCCATCATTAATCACACTGCGTGCTTCTGTACATTAACTTTTCCCCCCCTCTCTTTCTCATCATTGATGCAGTTGTTTCAAGGCTCAGGAAATGTTGACTTAGTACTGGTACTAAACAGAAAAAGCATTAGTAGGCCTACTAAGCGAATTTTTTTATAAGCTGTATATTATAATAATGCAATGTAAGCTCTAATGTGTTGCAATGTATTTCTTGGTTAAGGCACACTGTACCATACAAATGCTTTTGAAGCAAATGTGTGTACGTTTGTTATGATCTGTCCTTGTTATCTCAATATTTCCAATGCAGTAATACTAGTAATGGCCGACAGAGTAGAGGTGGGTTTTTTTTTCTTTTATGTACTGTGCTTTTACTTTTAATGTTATAATCTTGATTTCATAATTTGGTAGGCCTTCTTTGCCAAATGCTTTATAAGTTCACTACCGGTACTAGGCAAAGTTTTGTGCTCAGCATTTATTTCTCCTTCTGTCATTTGGCATGTCAAAGTATTTTTCTACAGTTACTCGTGACTAATTCTAAATGCTTCAAATTTTATGTCTGCAGTTGCATGTGAAAGATTTCTAAGGTCCAGACCATTTAATATAATTTAGCAGAGAAATGGTCTTCCATACATTTTACATGTGGTATGATATATATATAGCCCAGGTGTTCCAGTGAGTAAAAAGGTGTGTTGAGAAAGCGAAAGAGAGGCTGAGATCTTTGTAAAACGGCCACTTGTACTGTTGTTTTTTTACTTTAACTTTAGTTGAAAATGGTGTCTTTAAATATGGCTACCTTTTTAGACATCCGTTATTTCTGCTTTCAGTATTGATGATCCATTACGTTCTTGATTACTTGTTTTTCTCCCCAATTATCTTTGAAAAATTCTTCTATTTATTTTGGCCAACAATTTAAAGTGTCCCCTTTGTCCTTGAAAATATTTCTCCTTTTGATCTTATTTGCACTGATCATTTATCCATAATATTATGGTCTTTTACGTGATCTTTACTTGTTAGTTTAAGAGTTTTACGGCACTTGCTACACAATTAGGTCATATGAATATAAGTGCCTATTAAAACTGTTACAAGAGTGTAACAAACACAAATAAAAGAAGGAAAAGGGTGATGGATGCTTGATAGGAATAAAGGAACATTCTACATCAGAGCACCCGCCAACCACCCACTTCTTTACATTTTTTTCTTTATTTCTAAAGTGTTATACTTTTCCATCTTTGAGGGCACTCTGTTTGCACAGTTGGTAGTCTATCACGCTGGACTATGGAGCCGATGACCCTGGTTCAAATCCCAGAATGGGCATTCTTGAACTTGGGACATTTGGTGGAGTTTTCAAGACTTTCAACTGATTTTGACTCAGTCTTATCGGAGATGGGCGTTAAATTCAGAGGTCCTGCCTCTTAGAAAATTCAGAGGTCCTGCCTCTTAGAAAATTCAGAGGTCCTGCCTCTTAGATAGCCTTAATGTTGGTAGGGGCATGAAACCCATACTCTTAGTTTTGCTCCATTTGATTTTTTCTACCCTCTCTTTTCTATTATTAATTTTAATAATCATGTAATAATAGTAATAGATAATATAGTGTTTTCATAGCCCAAATTCCCGCTCAGTAAGCTCTACATCTATGCACTTTACAATCTATTATGTTATTAATTTTAGGTGATAGCCTTGGAAAGCGAAAGGGTACTCTTGTGAGCTTGATGGGCTTTGTTAATTGTTGTTTTTGTAACCATTTTTCAATTCTTGGGTTAAGTCGTTTTTTGGGGGTTTTTTAAAATTGACACCTGCTCAATTTGTGTCCCTGCTTGGTTTTTTCTTCATTGACATTGTGTGGCATTGGCAAAACAGTTTCTCTTTGGTCTTGGTTGACTGTAAGTACATTATGTACATGTGTATTATAATTTTATAAGCTGCTATTTTCGATAGAGAAAAAAAAATTAAAAAGACGGATGCCCCTGCTTGACATATATTTTATTTTATCCCTGTTCGAACTATGCTAGGCTTTTTTTTATTTAGTGTCTTGTCTATTATCAAGTTATAGTAGTTTGGACAAGACTGTGAGAAGACTACTATTCTGTTTAAATTTCAATGTTTTTCCAAGCTGGTAAATTTCTGACTGAAGGCTGTTTTGAGTAGACCTATCGTCAAGGTTTACATTTCTTTTTTTGCTCCGCTTCACGATACATGAAGTGAACTCTGAAAATACATCATTTATGAATGTGTGGTGAATGTTGTTTTAATTATATTGAACACAGTGTATTTACTCACCATGTCTGAAAGAACATGGGGAACCAGTGAGATGATTTTATGAATGTAGTTTTATTAACATTTGCTCAGTGTCCCCTTGAATACATCGTAAACAGGTGTACCTTGTACATCGTATTAAGTGGTAATTTTTCCAAATTTGTTTTGGAGATTTATTTTGCTGTTGACACAGACTCATCCTCAGAGGGCCTGGGTACTTATTGCTGGTTTATGAGACTAGTGTGGAACTATTTTGTAGACTTTTGTCTTTTTGTGTGTGTGTATGGAGAAGGGGAAAAAGGAGGGGGGGGATGAAGGGCTCTGTATTAAAAAGACTTCATTTTTTGGGCAGCTATGATGTACATGATTTGGACCAAAGCATTGAGTATGACAGTATGAGATCTTGTAATTGTGGAGATTAAACAAAAAACAATTCTTTTGTTTCTAATTCCACAAAATATTTTTTGTTTTCCATTTTTATTTTTTCTGTGAATGGTTGAGGGGTGCTGTGGTGTGGTTTTCTGTTTTTTCCCTATCAAACGCCCACTGTCCTTAATTTCTCCTCTTTTTTGCATGTTTAATTTGTTACTCTATTGTAACACCTCAACCTCTAATCTACTAAAATAAAAACAGAAACAACTCCCGCCCCCCTTCTTTTACTGGTACATATTGTTACTTTTGTACATATATTATTGACTATTGTTGTATTTCTACTGTACAGTTATACAGAGGTCTACTATAACCTTTACAAATGACATGATTACCTATTATGGAACACCCTGAGCGCTGGTCAGTCTTTTAAAGATTAGTTTGAGTCTTGATTTCATGTGTGTGATTTTTTTTGTTTGATTAAAAAAATTAAAGGTGTTTGTACACCCCCATTGACATAATGTTGATCATTTAGGTGGCAGGCTTCTGACCCTGCCTGTTAGGGCCAACCAGGCGAAGAGGGATACAATGTCCCAGCATACAGGACCTGATACTCGATTAAAAATTCTCTCCCCACTTGGGAATGGAACTCGGGTCTCCTTCGTGTGACAGTGAAGTGCCTAACCGCTACACTACAGATGCTGATCCTTCTGTACCGGCATTTGATGAATAATAAATTAATATTTAGTTTCCTTTTTATGTTTAAGTAGAAAGTTACCACACATGATGTAATGTTAATAACTACCCAGACTCAGCTGTTTTTAAGTTTATGTTCTCAACTCAGGGTATGCATAATGTGTGGCGGCACAAGAAAACCCATCATGTTGGTCAAAATTTGTGTAGCCTATATATTGATAATTGATGCAAATATTCTAATCTCTGACACCTCTTTAACTTTAAGTATTAAGTAATTTACATTGTATTTTAATTTTATGACAATGTCCTCAATGGTTTAAAAGTTAAGATAGGCATACAACAGAGAAAATCTGCCGTCCTATGACAAAAGAACGTAATTAGGTCAAGTGGTGTTTTTATACAAGAGAGAAGCCCCTTTTCATGGCATGTCTTTCTCTATCTTGGTTTTATAGCTGTACAATTTGAAATTAAGGAAGTTTTGTGCTTTTGAAAATGTGCATTGTGACCTATTAAGTCAATATTATGACAAAAGAAATTTTAATTAATTGCTCCATAACTCATGTTTACTGTATTGCCTACCTCAGCAAATCAGACAAAATTTACAGTGGCCAATGAATATTGACATAAAATAATCAGATCAATCAAAATTTAGTTCAGTTGAAACGTACACAAAAAGTTAGTTGTTTTTTTCCCTCCCTTGTAAAATTTCATTTTTGGCATATTTATTGGGTATATTTTTCTGTCATAAGACGGACAAAAATGGTGTTTAAATCCAAAACATTCTTTTAATTACCAATCAAATATTTATGTTCAGCAGCTTTGCATTCAGTGGAGATTGCCATTTTTTAGATTTAGGTTAGGGACAAGAACATGTTAACTCATTAAACACTTTGCGGCCACTTGGCGCAATTGAATAATGCGGAGGTGAAGATCATCCGTTCCCGCTCCGGGCTCGACAAGTCCGTTGCAGTCACTCTCCTGGCTGGGTGACCAGATGGGGTATTTTGTACTGGTGGCTGTGTGACTGCAGAGTGTTAAATAAACATGTTTTTATACCCTGATTAGCTTTCATAGATGTTTTAAATGAGACATAATACAAGAGATGCATAAATTTAATTTTGCGGCTTAACCTTGATTTTTCTCAGATTGCTCCTTTTTGACGTTAAATTTAAAATGCACATGCTCAGAAACACCCCCAGCTAACTGGAAGTGATGGGTTTTCTTCTGTCACCGCACAATTTTTTTTGGCTTTTGAAATTGAGCGCACACACACACATACCTCCCTGTTTGGTGCCTTCCTTCATTTGCATTTTATTAGAAAATATTATTGCATGCCTGTTTGGTTGTACATGTACTGCATGTGCACTGGATACAGTAATGACATTAATGACTATAAAATGTGCTTCTGCTAATAACAATGATGCAGTCTGTTATCGGTATTTAGAATTGTCCTTTGTATTTTGTGTTTCAATACATTAGTCGACGTTACTTAGCATTTTTTTTTTCGCTTTGTGGATGAGTTTCACTCTGCGACTGGAGATTCAGATCTTCAACTTCAAGCATTCACCTGTGGGAGATGCGTGCCCCAAGGGATCATGGGAGACTGGATAGAAAAGGTGTTGGTGATACTGGGACAATTCTCGTTCTGAATCGTCCTTCTACGCAGGCTGTTGCTATCTCTGACTCAGTGACTGTCAGTTTGCGTTCCCAAGGGACTTTTATTTCCAAGAATTGGAGTATTTTGTGCCGACTGCTTCTCTGTCCCAGTGCTGTGAGATTAACTATTTAGTGTGTATCTTGCGCATGCATCATATTAACTATTACAGTGGAAACCTGTTATAACAGGGATGGTGGGACCAAAGAAAAAGTCCTGTTATATTAGATCCCTGTTAAATCAGAAATACAAGGGAGGTTAGCATTTGTGGACTAATCCAGCTGTATTATTCATTGGTAGTTTCCCTTGCCAGAAGTACCCATGAACGGGGGAACATGACATTATACATGTATTACTCGTGCGTGTAGCTAGGCTTAGGGCTAGATCGAAGTCTGCAGCACACTGCAGCCCTCTCTCGCTTCACCCGCTGCATGTTGTGCTTGCAGTGGCGTAGCTTGTGTGAGCTTGCTCCATCACTGCGTTACTCTCTGGTTATTAGATTTAATCAATTTTTCGGGAGCAAAGTATTATACAGTGGAGTCCACTTATAACGAGTCCGGAAAAAACTAGAAGTCTGTTATAATATAAAGACACTATTATATTCTAAAACCCCTTTTTTTCTCCTCTTTACCTTTGTTAATAAAATTCGGCTATAGCGCTATCAGACAAACACACGAGTCGGTTATAGTTATAGTTATAGCGGAATAATTTATAATGCAAAACCTCGCCAGTTGAGAGACTTATTCGTGATCTCGTAATCATCTAGCCAAACAAAGAATGGGAGAGCCCATGTGCGTCAACAATGAAGGCCGGAGCGACTGAGTTGGGAGGGTGTGGCATGCGCAAACAAGCAGAACGCATCGCGTGATAGGCCAGCGTAAGCCTAGTTTAGAGTTTAGATTACCAAAGCCTACCTACCATGCCTCGCACTTCTCCGATGCGGGAATGGAGAGGTCACAGCAATGTGATGGATGGAGCGAATGTGTGACGTGCGCAAGCAGACGGAATGCACCACGGGGTGGGGTGGGGTGGGGGAAAACACAGCAGGCGTTATTAGTCCAGAGCCCTTTCTTTCTGATTGCCAACGCCGAGCTGTCAGTCCATTATAATATATCGCTAGATCTAGCGCTAGAGAAAGAAAGCTGATTCGATTTTTGATCAAGCAAGACCTAGAGTGTTCGTTATAGCAAACATGAGGTTTAGTGTAGATAATTACAGGCACTGAGAAAGTAATGTGTAAAAAGAAGTAACCAGGTAGTGCCTGAAAATGGAATGCCTGGGTATTATGAACTGTGTAAAAAAAAAGGGACCCAAAAAAAAAGACCGATTCGTTCAAATGCACGCCTGTGTCATGTCGATTGTTTGCCAAAAAGTTGTGTTGCTGTGTAG